CCTCGAGCCACGTCCTGCAAAGCTGAGGGCAAAGTCGGCTAGCGATGACCGGCAAAAGTATTGGTCCGAAGCAGTGACTTCTATGGAGCAGGCCTCAAATGGTGATAACACTCGAAAACTACCAAACTATCCGCCAAGTTAGTGGTACACCCTCGCAACTCTGTGACTCTGTTCGCGATGTGAATGGAGGCTTTATTGCTGACAACTTGGTTAAGGTCGATCGCTGGTGTGAGCACTTCAACCACCTCCTAAAATTTGATGAACGGCTCACCACACCCTCCCTCTCCTCCACAGTAGAGTTTAAAACCTCTCCAGCCTATGGAGAGACGTGCGACCTTCCTTCCGAAGACCTTTCGGATGCAATGCAGAGGCTGCACAACAAGAAGGCGTTAGAAAAGGACGGTATTCCCGTCATAATCTAAAAGTCGTGTCGACCCTGGCTCCCGGGCTTATGAGGTGATTAGGGAAGCGTGCAGAGACGAGGCCGTTCCTGGTGACCGGGGCTCAGGCACCCTTGTACCTGTCTACAAGGAGGGTGTTAAAAGAAGCTGTGAGAACTATCATGGCATAAGTCTTATCGACGTCACTGCGAAGATCTTTGCTATTGTTCTTCTCAGGCGATTATAGTCTGTACGTGACTCTAGGACACGGTCCAACAAAGCCGGGTTCCGCGCTGGGCGTGGATGTGCGGACTAGATATTAACACTGAGACGAATCCTTTAATTCGGCCATAGCTACCAGCATCCAATTGCCGGCTGCTTTGTTGTCTTTGCCGCTGTGTTCGATTCCGTCGAATATGAATCCTTATAGCGGATAATGGCAATGGATGGTATACCACTAAGCCATAATCAAGGCATACTACCGCTCTTCCACCGCGCGGGTCCCTCCTACATCAACCTCTCAGAACGCTTAGCCATTCGGTCTGGCGTTCCACAAAGCGGTGTCCTGTGGCCCATCCTATTTAACTATGCCATTGGCTGGATCCTCTTGTTAGCATTAAACCAGTCCAAATTATCCAGCATTTCCAGTTTCTGTCATTAGAATCAAATTAGCCAGAGTCCAGAGACTGCATCTGTCCACAGCCAGAGTATGATTAGCTTCATGTCGTTCTCCTTACTCGTTCTTCTTGCATATTGTGCTAACATGCACGGCAGGAATCGAATTACTCGGCTTATATTTGCTTTTATTTGCCTTCTTTAAGCCTGGCGGACGCTCCTTCACTAGTACGGCAACTTCTCATCTTTGTGTACGAGAATATGCCTTGTCCTCCGAGCATGCTCGAATCTTCCAATCAGTCTGGAATTCTGTGGAATGCAGCATCAACACTTGCAAGTAGGCCTTCTTTGTGTTCAGAAGCTTTACCGTTTACTCAGTTGACAGTGGCTTCCGCGACCAGCCTTCGGGACTGGAATTACAGTCTCCTTCACTTCCCATTACCAAACCATTCACGACACAGTCCACAGAATTGGATTCAGAGCAAAAGAGCAGAAAATGTAGAAGTGCCTTTTGCATCCCGATGTGACATATATTCCCTCGCTAAGTCATATCTATACCGTAGTATGACCAGTCAGACTCCCACTCCACCAGGGCAGTTTAAGCTAAGGACGCTTAAC